CCCCAAAACCCCAAAACCCCAAAACCCCAAAACCCCAAAACCCCTAATTTTATGAAATTATTGAAAGTGACCGCAAATTTGTACCTATGACATCAATATTTTGAGCCTGGAGATAGAGCTCGTAAGCTCGTCATTTTCCTTCTTAAGTCTTTCAATTTCATCGTTCTTGGTTTTGTGGACCTCCTTTTGTTTAGTGATATATTCCTTCTTCAAGCCTTTTTCTATTTTAGTCTTACTAGTCTTGATTTCTAGAAGTTTTTTATAGGAAATTACCTTTCTTTAGTCTTTCAATAAGACGATTCTCAAATTCTTCATCTGTGAGATCGAGTTCTTTCTCTAATTCTTGGAGCTTCTGTTTTAGCTCTTTCTCTTCCTCAACTGTATTAGAGTGCTCAACCTCTTGAGGAGGAGGAGCTTTGGATTCTTTAGTTTTCAAAGGTTCATTCTGAACCTTTGATTTGATTTCTTCATCTTTCTCGTGATCTTTATGAGTTGATCCTTCTGTATTCTTCCATTTTCGGTTCTTATTTAGCTCCTTGTCTATAGCTTTGAGCACAGGATCAATCTCTTGGTCATAAGCAGACCCATTCTCTTGCTTTAGCTTGACTAACTTCTTTTTGAGACCTTTAAGAATATTTAATGACTTTTTAAGTTCTTTCTCCACAGATTTTTCGGTCTCTGATGTATTATTTTGCTTTAGCCTCTCTAGTTCGGACTCCTTGCTCTTAAGGTCACCTTCAAGAGTTGATTTTAGTTCTTTCAGCTTCTTTAGTTGGATCCTTACAATGGTCTTGTTGACACCATCTTCAGGAGCTCCAGCTATCATTTTCTCATCTAGAGTTAAAACAGAGAGATACTATAAGTTTTATTATTCATCATCATCTTGCAGCTCCTTCATACCAGGTTATCATGTTTGGAAGTTTTTGCTGGTACCTTATAATTTATTTTCGTTCTCTTAGCCATGAATGAGCTTTTAGCTATGAGTTTAATACTACTAGAGTACCTCGTCCTGCTTTGATCTTATTCATGAGCATTTTCTTTACTTTGTCAGCTTCAACCATTAAATTTGCCTTATTGAATGCTCTAACCTCATCGTTTTGAGTGAGGATCCGTTCTGCAGTGAACACATCATTCTCTTGTTCTTTATAACGGCGGTATAGGCTAGGATGAATTAAATGGGAATCTTACTTTTCAATTTTAAGCTGTTCTGATTTCAATTTATTTGATTTCATCTAAATCCTGCCGATTTGATTTCTTAAGTTCAGTGATTTCAGCAATTATATCCTCTTGGTTCATATTTGTACTCTTCTGGTTCACTCCGAAACTTTGATTAGCAGGTTTAGTCTTGGCATGAGAGCTATGCCGAGCTGCAAATCTTGAGCTAGCAATTTTTCCTGCTTTCGGCTCATTAAGGTTTTTAGGGTTATACTCATTTAGGCTAGACTTAAAGCCAATTTTAGGTTTATTTCCCATATTTGTTCTTTTCCCATACCGATTTCCTTCTTCCGTCCTTTGTGAGTTAGTTGTATGCTTTGCAGTAGCTTCATCGACTTCTTCAATTTGCTGCATATCTCTGCTAGCTCTAAAGTTTTGAAAAAGAGTGCTTACTTCTCAGCTCCAGAGTAATATACATTTTCTTGGCCAAAAGGGTTGCCTTCACTTTGGATATTTATTCTTCCGGGGTGATCCATGTCTGTATCTTCAGAGAAATCAAATTCAAAATGGTCTGACATTATTTAAATAATTTTATATTTTAGAGGCATCGATTGGGGTTTTGGGGTTTTGGGGTTTTGGGGTTTTGGGGTTTTGGGG